AGAGTACGGAGGTTTGTCTGACTCACTCAGCGAGGAGCTGTCCTCATCAGGCTCGGCGTCCAGGAGACGCTTGTGAGTTTTATCTTGCAAAACGCTATCGGTGTATTCTGGGAGAGTGGCCTCCGTATCTCGATCTTTGGGCTCTGGCGGTTTTGACATGGGTGATTACACGTTGAAACGTTTGTAGATTCTAGGTTCATGTAAAAGTCTAGTGTTAGGAACCTTAAAACTATGTGGTTCAGATCTGTCAAACAGCACTAGACCTGCTTTAAGTACGATCTTTAAGGATGACCTCCGGGGTAGGTGACTCAGTGTGGTCTTTAGCGGGCACCTTAGAGACGAAGACCGGAGGGTGGGTAAAATGATACTCCGGGTTAGGCTAGTTCTGGTCGACTATAGTGAGGGAATAAAAGCCCTCGATGCAGATGCAGGTAAAGTTTACGTGAAGTTTCTTTTTAACCATGCATGTACACACTGCCTTTCATCCAAGTGGCGCGTGACGTAATAGCCCCAGGGAGCTACTAAATATAGAGAGTGCTGTGCACTTTAGAGCCATGACAGACGGCTAATGGCAGAGGTAATTGGGTGGAAGAAGAAAAGGAGACTGTCGAAGGACCTCATTAGATAACGGCAGACGGGATATCGAGACGCGTCCGGAAGACGTTGGAGAAGTAGAATGAGAACTACCTACGCAGCTCTAAAGTTGCTCTTGTGCCGAGGCCACCAGTTCTATAAGCAGGACTAACTCCTTGCCGGGTCTGTCCAAACTTTATCCTTAGTCAGCTACCTCGCACTGTCGTAGGCGTCGAGCGTACCACGTCACACATGAGGTGTTGTCCTGTAAATATTGCCACAGGGTTGTGTAGGCCACCTGAATGAAATATGCGGAGTGATGAGGGATTTATTTTGCACAATTAAACTGAGAACTCAAGAATTGTTCCTATCATTCGAGCAGTGTGCTTGGGCTCAACAAAAGATACCTGAATTTTCAATGATTAGGAGAAGTGAACGGCGAATTCGGATGAAGGATGGTGTTTATAGCCTAATGCCTGCCTTAGCTCTATCTTATGAGTCATTTATAGAAAGCTTATATGGCTACAACACCTCCCTTTGGAGATGGTACATCTGGAGTGACAAAGGTACTGGTCAGATTTCAACCAAGTATACAATACTTATAGATAAATACACATAAACCAAACGGATGGAGTGAAACATGAAATCTGTGCGAAGCGTCATCCACTGAAAATGTGGATGTTGAACGGAAAGATGAAAACAAATAACAAATCATGCGCTTAGATTTTACCTGGGCACTGGTATTATTCATAGTGTTTACGCTGAGCATCCCACTTTAACCCCTTGTGGATCAAAACGTACACCAAGCAGTTAGAGATAAAGCACAAGCCAGCGAGGAAGGTATAAACCCCACCGACGTTCATCTTGACCACCATCTTGTCCAAACAGGCGGTCCCAACGGCAGCTGTCAAACACCGGGTAAGGTTGACACACG